TGTTTATGTAAAACAAAACTTACATAAAACATTTCACAAGGTGTACTTTTACATTAAATCCTTAGTAATTGAGGATCAGGTGAGGCAAAGTTTGCTTGTGAGTTTTTATTTTTATTTTTTTGCAAACCTGCTTTAGCTTGAGTTGCTGGAAATGGCCTTAGACGTCAGTAAAATGCTCCAACTCAGTTATGGCATTCGCCATGTAGAACAGGTAAGCAGACACACATTGCATGTGGTTGTTGGGGGAAACGGAGCGAAGAACAGAGCCGTGGTTTGCAGGTTAAGGGTTGCATATTTCAGATTGATGAGATCCAGAAGCCCAAACACCACTTGGCATTACCCCAGTGCTTCCTGCCCCACAGGGTTTGGGTCGAGGCATATGGATCAGGTAGGAGTGGGAAAGCTGGGAGGGCATATGGAGCTGCAGCTCGATGATGCAGTGCTGGGGTCTACAACATGTCCAGCATGTTAACCAGATCCTGACTGCGGTTTGTTTTACAGCCTTGAACACAGCTAGCCTTCAGATGCTCAGTGTAGTAATCCAGCCCTCCCAGTTTCCACTCTCTCTGCATTTCAGCAATTTACCCAATTGGCACTATTTGGTTTTTATGTATGCTAATTTAGTTAGATTTATCTTCTTACAACATTTCCTTTCTATGATTAAAGCTGATTTGGAAACTATATACCCCCATGGTGGGCAGCCAGGCTCTTTCCATGGTTTGTATTTTTGGTAGCTAATAAATCTCTCACTGAACACATTTCTTGATTTATGTAGGTGCTAACCATAATATCCATTAACCTCTTCCAATTGCCAGTTAAGAACAAAATGACTTACTGCTATACGTAGGGTATATTGAGTTGTTGGAGTTAGCAAACATGTACTGAAAAAGACACATTTATTTCAGTGTATTTGTATAACACCAATTCACAACACGTTATCCCAATACGCTTTGCAGAGACAATTCAATCAGATCAGTCGTTTAGATTGGTTAAAGGTTTATAAGGAAAACCAGCTCATTGCACTCAGTCATTGACTTTGCAGGACTCGCTCCTCCTGAATGAACAAGTGGTGACAGTAAATATTAAGTTGCATCATGCCATTGACTCTACAGCAATCCCTCACATCGAGCATGCATACAGCGACAGTGAAGAGGAACAATTCTCTTTTAACGGGAAGAAACCTCCAGTAGAACCAGACTCAGTGGGCATGACCTTCTGCTGAGGCAGACTGGGGTTCAGAGATTTAAACAGACACACAAGAGGAACATAGAAGGTCTGATCTATAAATACTTTGTGTATTAGTAAAAGTAATTAGCTTTTGGTGGTTAATAGGCACCTCTGTCTAGAAATGAAACCTTTAAGCAGATGAACTCTGAGCTTGTTTTCAGGTCAAATGGATTAAAGACATGGCAGTTAGTCAAAGTAAAACCTGAGCCTGTAGCTATACTGTAGGCGAGAAACAGAACTAAACATGGAAAAACAGTCCCAACTCTATCATTTATGATCAAAGGTGTCGATGGCAGCAGCCCAGCTGATTATTCTTTAGGATGAGGTCACAGCTAAACAGCACCAAATAAGCTAGTATCATAAGAAAAAAATGGAACATAAAGTCACTGGTTGAAATAATACTGCAGTAATGGAAAAAAGAGACAGAATGATGAAAAGAGGTTCTATGTCCTCCAGCAGTTTAAACCTATAGCAGCATAACTATAGAGATATTGCAGGATAATCTGAGCCACTCTACCTATAAGCTTTACCTGAAAAGTGTTAAGCCTACCCTTAAAAGTAGACAGAGTGTCTGCCTCACGGACTAAAACTGGTAGTTGGTTCCACAGGAGAGGAGCCTGATAACTTAAAGATCTGCCTTCCATTCTACTTTTAGAAGTTCTAGGAACCACTAGAAAACCTGCAGATTGAGAGCAAAGTGAGTCACATCGAGTAAGGAACATAAGGAATGATCAGATCTCTGATATACGACAGGATTGGGCTACTTAGGGCTTTGTATGTAAGAAGGATTTAAGAGGAATCCAATAAAGAGAAGCCTAAACGGCAGAAATATGATCTGTCTTTTTAATATTCAGAATATCAGAACTCTGGCTGTAGCATTTTGGATCAACTAAAGCATTTTAATTACATTTAGTGAACTTTTTAAAAGTAAAGAACTACAATAGCCTATCCTTTATGTAACAAATGCATGAACAAATCATCCCTAATGCCCTTTTAGCATATAAAGGCTCTAAAGAATGTTAAATAGTAACACATAACATGCACCTAATTGGCCACTGGTGCATTTGTCTGAGTATTTTCTGTCCAAATCGATGTGAATTTAATCGTTTCCTTTTGGATTGATGCAGCACAACTAAAGCGGTCATACTAAATCATTGTGATCGTGCAGCACTGCCATGTCTTCACCAGAGAATGTTTTAGAGGGCTGGAGGGTTTGAATTTGGGCCTTAATAATGTTGGACGTCAGCCATCATGGTTCGGCTCTGCTGCAGAATCGGCTCAGTGGATTTTTATTTAAATTATTTTTTTTACCCAAAATAGGCTTCAGTTGTATCGGAAGATGGAGAAATCATTTTTTAGAAAAGGCCCTCAGCGAAGTAAGACAGAACTTTCTAAGCTTTTTGCAAACAGCAGAATATTGCCATTAAAATTAATGTTTCTGTTTCTGCAATTAAAATCACGTTGGCTCCAGAACAAGGGTCACATTAAGGAGTTGTGGTTTAGAGAGCCCCCCGTCGGCTCTCTGGCTCTGTGTCCCACATTTTAAATGCATTTTTATTTTTTTCTTATGTATCTCATTTCTGATGCATCAGAGATGCAGCTAGGTGTGTGTCCCACCTGCTTTACTGTGTATGTTTGTGAGTTTGAATGTCTAACAGTTGGGGGGGCGGGTGTTCTGATTCTTCTTGGCCAAGCAGTGTGGTCTTCACATGACCAATCAAATATGTCAAACCACCAGTGTTTTCCCCCCACATGTACAACAAGGAAATCTGGCTTCAATTATTATTTCACCCCAAGGGGAACTTCCAAAATTCCTCCTCTCCTCATTTGTCAGAAATGAAGCTCTTTAGTTTCCTGTGATTTGCTGAAATGTGTCTTTTGATATTAAATCACACCGTTTTCCACTGGCTGTAAGACCAAGACAAATGTTTATCATATTTATTTATGTCATCGGAGATGACCCTGCCGTTCCAGTCTTGGCTGCAAATTCCCATGTTATACTGATTATGAGAAAGAGAGTCCCCTAAATAAGCTACAGTTAGGAGATAATTTGGAAAGCATATGAGGTAACTGTGGTTTGTTTTAAAGTGAAAAAGACAGTATAGGGTTGGAGGTACTGTTACAAAGTCCCTAATGAATCCAGACTGACACATCCCACCCAAACCTTACCCAGCTCTTAGTTTGATTTATATTATGCTTTGTTGATAAATGGGGTTCCAAATGTTGATTAAGGATCTGTTTCACTTGTTTGTATGTCAACAAATCCAACTAAACCCCAGTAAGGCACCTCTAATCTCTCATTGCCATTGTTTTTGTTGCTGGTGCTTATTGTCATAACATCGTGCTCTGGTAGAGGCCTTCTCAATGTGGCGAGGAGAAGGGAAACGCTATCTGAAAATTGCCACTGACGTTGCCGAAACAAATAACACCGCTCACGCTGCCGCTACATCTGTGGCCGCTTTAAGCCTTAATTTCTACCATTTAAGGCTCTCATTTGAATTCACCAGCACAAATAAACATTTCAGAATGAACTGAAAGCCCTGATGTCATATACAGATGTTGAATTTTGATTATTCCTTTTTTGCTCCGTGAATTCGTCTGAATCTTGTCTCTCAAAGGCAAAATACATGACATCACTTTCTTGGCGTGGACGGCTCGGTGCTCGCTCCCTCGACTGCAGCCGTTCCACCACAGACACAAGGCTGCCTCCTGTCCTGTGTTTTGAAGTTTGTGGGTGTAGTTTTAGCCCTTCGTTTTTATAGATTGAATTAGAAACAAAACAGCCATGAGAGCAGCTTTTTAGGACCACTGTCATAAGGTGGCAAAAAGTCCAACTGTGAATTTTCTCAATTTAACTGAACAGTTTGCAGAAGTTTCGTTTTTATTACAGGGTTCCCGCGGGTCCTTAAAAAGTCTTAAAAGGCATTGAATTCTTCAAAATAAAACTAAGGCCTTAATTGGTATTAAAATGTCTTAAATCCGTCTTTCGTAGGTCTTAATTTTTACAACATCATAAATAGGATTATTTTTAATCATGATTTATTTGTGTAATCTAAATAAAACATTAAAATTGACCTTTTTTTTTATTTAAAAAAAATAATGGCTCGCCATTATTGGTTCCGTCCCGATAGCGGAACCAATAAAAGCGTTGTTGCGGCCGGGACATTTGAGATGCGCCATTAACTTTTTGTCTGGAAAATATGAGCAAGTGTAAATGTAACTAAAATTGGTTATCCAGCTAAAACCAGGGAACAAGAAGCGATTTAAGCTCGGAACGATGTGAATTATAAGCTCAAAGGCTTTTTTTTTTATTATTTTTGAGGCAAATCTTAAAAGGTGGAAAAGGAAATCTGTCCAGCCGATCGATTAGTTAAAGTTTCTGTATGAAATCACAGAAGGATTCAGTATTATGTCCTCAGTACAAGCCCAAAACATTGATGGCTCATAGAACTGCTCATGCAGGTACAAATGAAAACAGTATTCAACAGAAAGTAAAGCTATTTGTTTGGCCCCATGTAGCATCCCTGATCTAAACTGTCCCATTCAAGGATATTTAAGGATAACTAATAACTGTGCCGTCAGATTACCCCACTAACCTGTCTCACGTGTGAATCTCCAAACTATTCACATATTATTTATGATGATTAAAATTTAAAAACACTCCCAATATCAAGAATGACCTATTTATTTACCTCTATCTTAACATTCTGAATATCTAAACCTCTAAATGTATGTTAAAGTGATTTTGGCATTTTCTCTCTTTCTCCCTGCAGACGAGCGTTCAACCTGGGCATTTTGCGCGACCCAGGCTCAGAGGTAGAGGATCGTCAGTATCAGATTGATCTCCAGTCTATCAGCATCGGTACGGCTCTGTGGGAACAGCTCAAGCCAGAGAAGGAGGGAACTAAAGGAGGGGTTTCAGCAGAAAGTGAGAGGAGCTCTCAGAATCCAGCCCTGGAGTGGAACATGGCTAGCAGGTTAGCAGGAACCAAAACAATTAATGCTATGCAAGTCACCTTTATGAGTAATGAATGTTGTACATTTATCAATGACATTTTGGTACTTTGTTCTGTTGGCATCTGTCTGTAGAATTGAATGGTTTTATGTCTCAAACATTGGAAATATTTATGGACCCATAACCACATTTTTGAGTGAAAATCAACTCAGAATGCACATAGATAGAACTGAAACACAATTAAAAACCATTTGAAGAAGACTGAGCATCCCTAAATATCTTTAGGAAGCAAGATAAAAACATATGTGGAGATAAAGCATTTCTTATTTACATTGCAGATGGTTATAGAGCAGTCTATGGATGGACTTTGGCCATGAAATAGACTGAGTCTCTGCAGGGGTGATTTCCTTCACAGCTGTGGGATAAATGACAGATAACCTGCCCAGTTCAGTGAGGGCACCGTACTGCAGGATGGCACCATTTTTACAATCAAGGACACAGGCAGACGAACAAACAGTTCGTAAATAAAAATCACAGCATGAGCTTACACTCCTGGAGTGAACCATTTAAGTTTTCCTGATGTAGGGTGCAGCTCAGCTGTGCTGAGAGGGGAATTGCATGCTCTAGATTACATTGATGTGAAATTTGAAGGAGTTGAAGTATCTGATTTAGGTGTTACACATCTTTAGGATTAGGTATTTCCTCCAAGGAGGGGATAAACTGAAGGTATTAAAGTATTGATTCTATGAGCATTAAGTTCATGTTTCCTTCTAAATTTCCTATGTAAGCTTATTTGTGTGTGAGAACTCTATTGAGTTCTCTCAAACATAAACCAGTGATAACCAATTAAAAATCAGCGGGGTCTGAGTAAAGAAAATCATCGACCACTAAAGATTTGGAGACATTTTTAATCATAATCTGTTACTTTAAACAGAATTTCACACCAAAATAAAAATAAATTTTTATGCATCCATGTTATACATTGACTCTTTTTTAATGGCACTAGTGGCGCTTTTTTCCGACAGTAATCTGACAGGAAAGGAGGCATGAGAGAGTGGGAGAGACATGCGTCAAAGAACCACAAGTCGGATTCAAACCTGTGTCGGTCGCGTCGAGGATTAAGGCCTCCGTACATGGGTCGTACATGCTAACCACTGTGCCATCTGCACGCCCCATGCAACAAATTTTTAAGTGAAAAAAATATAAAAAAAAAAAAAATAGAAAATATTTTTCATTTTAAAATCTAAGGTGTTTTTTTAAGTAGAGAACAATCGTTCAGTTTGGTATAAAGACAATTTCCTGATTCACATATTTTATAAAACACCTGAACTGAACGTTTGTTATTTTGTCGCCATTCAAACATGGGTTCAAATGGCACATATCAAGGTGCTCATTTTGAGCCTGGATCCATATTTATTTTTGATTCTGTTCATGGTGGAGAATCCTGCTTCACAGCAGCAGGTTGAGCCAAAACTCCTCTAAATGTTCAGGGTCATCTTTGAGCACCATTTAACTTTTCTGTCACCAGTTCACCGCAGTTGTTCCAGCAGTCCACACTTTCTCTGCTCTCTTTTTCTCATCATCTTCTCCTTCTTTCCCATCGCCCGGCTTGCCACAGGTTTGCCTGCTGTGTCTAAAAGTAGCAGCAGCAACAACACAGACTGACAGCAGCTCATTGGCTAATTTGCCGGACGCTCCAGAGGGCTTTACCGTACAAACATGAGAAGCGGTGCAAGTGTGTTTTTATACACTGTCATCGTACACAATGTTGTAATTTCTAAATGTTTTAAATCAGGTTGGGTCCGGATTAACCAGCAGGTGGGTGCGGATCCGGACTGCGGTCCGATAATCCCTGAACTCTGCTATAGAGCGTGTTTAAACATTTATTCAATGTATAAAACTGGGACAGTTTGGTAAAGATGCTCGACATTCGAGGTAATAAATGAATAATAAAGATAAAATAATTTAATGAAAAAGGTAGAAAAATTTAGCTGAATTACCCAAATTTCAGGGAACTTTTCCATTACGAATTGTAAAAACGGCAGCACCCTCCCCCTGCAGCACGGTATCTCTCCAGTTAACGGGCTACAATAATTGCTTGGTATTATGTGTCACATGTAAATCCTAACTAAAACATCTCAACATAAATTTAACATTAAAAACAACAAATATTTATTTACTCAGAGCAATAGTATTTTTTATTTTAAAGTTTTTACAAATGCTGCGTTTATGACAAAAACTTTACGTGCTGAGCAAAGGTTCCCGAGTGGATAAAAAGTCTATGTAACTATAAGCTTTGTTGCAAAATTACCAAAAGCTCCTGAATACCATCAGGGGTGTGATTTATTATCCTTATGTTCCCAGAGCGACTGTGTGTAATGCAACATATTAACAGTTCGCTGGTCAGTTTGCAGCTGTTGAGTTATTATGCAGCCTTTGCATTCGGCCTCATAAATACAAACCCTGTCTTTTTTATAGGATCAGGAGCTAAAACAAGCACAACTGTAACAGCCTGTAAGGCCCCACATCCTTTTTTTTTTCCCCCACTCATGTACTGAGAGGGAACAGGCCCAAAAATCACAGATTTGCAGGCAAGGAACGCAGATTTGTTCCCTGTCAACTAAAAATAACCCTTGTGGAAGAATGCATTGCAAAATCAACACAAGGCTGATTGAGGCTGTGCTCCCAGGTCACCAGATCTGTGAGGGATGCATGCTGAGATACGCACAGCTTCTTCACCCCGACGGCCTGAGACAAGCGCTCTCTAGGGTCTGGGTTCAAACTAACCATCATACATACTCATTATAGACATCAATATTTTCTTTGTTTTAAACAAACACACGCACACACACAGCGATAGCCTTCAGAGTGCTGCCAGAAAATAAAACAGACTGTTGGTGTTGCAGCCGATACTGATGTATGGGCCTTACGCTCTCAGCAATGTAGTAAGAGGTTTTTATGTGGCAGCCGGTTAAGATTTATTTACTGGGCTCTCTTTTTATTAAAGACTCCTCTTCCAGAATGGGCTCCTGCAAACTGTGCATGTTCTCATAAATGTGAACGATGCCCACGAAGCACTTAAAAGTCAGCTTAAAGTAAGTAATAAAATATTTCTTGGTCAAGCAAGGATTAAATGGAATGGCTGATACCACCACAGAGTCATAGAACCTCTTCAGAAGTTCCTCCGTCTAGGCTGAGTCTGTAGATTTGATCTGTCAGGAACACCAACGCACTCATAAGTTTCCTCTCTTAGTGTCGATACCTTGAATTTACACCAGTTAGGGGACAACGAATCATAGTTTGCAAAATAATCCACCATCATTACCTCCATTTCTACCTGCATCGATCAGGAGATGAGCCCAGGAAGTTCTGCAGGAAGACGGGCATGCACTTTGCAATTCTTTCAGTAACTGTACGAGGAAACCCAGAGGTTTCCTCGTACAGTGTGAGTTCACAGGTCATGATGCATGTTCTCACACAGTGCGGCCCGATGCTCTGATGCGATCTACCTGCTCACACTCTACGTCTAAAAACCATGTGGGACTCAGCTCCGCAGTGAGATGGCGCTACTCTGACTCGTCAACCTGGAAGCCAAACCAGTAGAAAAGTAATATGAAGGTCACTAGAGTTAAAAATTTGCTGCCTTTATAACTGGTGTAAAAAAAAAGGCCTCAAAGTTCATTGCTGAGCAAACGTGGCTACTACTGTCTGTCAATTTTACAGAAAGAACTCAACTTCATCCGCACCTCCGCCATGCTTCTGTGTTTTCCACTGAGAGGAAGAAGCAGAAGAGTCCTTGTTTGCCCACTGAGCGATTGGCCCACGACGGCCAACTAATCAAACATGTTCTATTTTTCTCCCGACCTCATGATTCCTGATCAAGAGGTGGTCGTGAGAGGCTGATCACCCCTCGTTACCCCTTGGAAACTACACAACGTATGATAAATGGAAAATTCTTGCACGACTGGAAAGTCGCCCGAAAAGGGCAAAAAACTGTGTAAGCCCGGCTTAAGTCGTCCTCTGTATTCTGCATGATGGTTGTCAGCAGACAATGAGAGTTGTTTGACAACCTCTGCACAGCGCCGCAGCCTGAAAAGTGCGTAGGTTTGGGTCGTCCCTTTAGGAGCGAACCCATCACAGTTCAACGTCCGTCTGTAAGGAATCACTTTTTAAATGAAAACTATGCTTTGTCAAGATAAACAACCTTTTATATTCAAAAACCATTTTTGCTCCTAAATTATTGAATGAATGATCTCCTTGTCACAGGAACACAAATATTTCTTGTTTTTAATTTTTAATTCAGTATTTAGGTTATTTAACCAGCCAGTTAGTTCTTCTTTGAAAAACTACTTCTTTGAAAATTGATTAAAGAATAACTCTTTGTATTGATTATGATAAAAGTATACAGAAACATGGCATGCAATATTATGAGTTTAACTTTTGCTAAACAGCATATATTTTTAGTACAATTAAAACAAAGATGTTACTGAGGCTACTTCTCCTCCTTAAGCAAGTTACTAAGACAAAGAAAATCCCGTTTCACAAGAGAGTTTAGTTTTTCAGACATGGACTTACTAATGTTGGCTCTGAAGCTCATCACCTGGCCTGAAGTGGCTTGATCTTCTGTGCAGGAACCGTGAACGCTGTCATTAGTGTTGGGAATCTCTGTGCTAATGCAACACGAGTTGCACTGAGAGTTTTTTTTTAGCTTCAGTACCCACAGTGGACCAACGCTTTGGATGATGCTTGTGTGTCAGATTTATGGATGGAAAATAAACTGCAAACTCAAAGCTTTTAGTTCATGATCTTAGTATGTTTGAAAAAGATTATAGCATTAATTCCTTCATTTGTACAAATAATTAATCAAACCTTAAGGTTCCAGCCCCAGCGGTGGTAGTAGTAGTAGTAGTAGTAGTAGTAGTAGTAGTAAGAATAGTAGTAGTTAGCATAGAAATGAAACCAATTTACCATAAATCTGATTTATTTCTTGCTCACTAATGTAGTTTACACTAAGGAAAGATTATTTTAGTGGTAGTAGTAGTAGTCGCATTTACAGTTGAAATAGGTGTAGCAGTTGTAGTAGGAGTAGCATTAGCAGCAGCAGTAGTAGTAGTAGTACTAGTCCTAGTAGCAGTAGTAATAGTTGTATTTGCAGCAGTAGTAGTAGTACTAGCCCTAGTAGCAAAAGTAGTAGTTGTGTTTGCAGTAGTAGTAGTTGTAGTATTAGTACTAGCCCTAGTAGCAGTAGTAGTAGTTGTGTTTGCAGTCGTAGTTGTAGTGCTAGTAGCAGTAGTAGTAGCATTAACAGTAGTATCAGTAGTTGTAGCAGTTGTTGTAGGAGTAGATTAGCTGTAACAGCAGTAGTAGTAGTAGCAGTAGTTGTAATAGCAGTAGTAGTAGTACTAGCCCTAGTACCAGTAGTAGTAGTTGTAATAGCAGTAGTGATAGCTGTAGAAGTGCTTTCTAGCATTAACAAATGCTACGGCAGTAGTAGTAATAGTAGTAATAGCAGAAGTTGTAGTGGCATTAGCAGTAGTAGTAATAGTACACGTTTGTAGCACTTGTAGTTGTACAGTAGTAGCATTAGTAGTGGCAGTAGTAATAGTAGTTGTAGCAGTTGTTGTAGTTGGAGTAGCATTAGCAGTAGTAGCATTAGTAGTAGCAGTAATAGTAGTTGTTGTAGCACTAGTAGTACTTGTAGCTGTATTAGCAGTAGGAGGAGTGGTAGATTTGGTAGTTGTAGTAGAAGCTGTTGTTTTAGTAGCAGTAGTCGTAGTAGTTGTTGTAGTTGTGATAGTAGTAGTTGTAGTACTTGTAGCTGTATTAGTAGTAGTAGCAGTTGTAGTATTAGGGGTTGCAGTAGTAGTAGGCTGTTGTTCTTGATGTAACCATGCAGAGTTTGATTCTCAGCCTCTAGACCTTTGCTGCTTGTCTGCTTCCTCTCCCTCTCTGCCCATTTCCGGTCTGTGAACATGTGATGGAGAATGTTCCAGCACACTGAGGAAAACGGGAGTCAAGTTCTCAGTTTGGCTTGTCTGCTACAATCACAGGCCCAAATACACCACCTTGGTTTTAACAAGCTTTGACACACACTGCTTCCACACTTCCCTTCTTCTCTGCGTCGATACGCTCTGCCCTCTAAGGCATGTTCACCGTCTCGCCTTCTGGGTTCAGTTCCAGTAGTTGTGGATCTGTAGAGGCCCTTGTTAACTCCCTGATATTTTGTGAGGAGGTTCCAGTGCCATGGTTTGTGAAAACCACCCTCGGTTATAGAGCTGTGATCCTCTGGCACAGGCCCCGCTTTATTTCCCACCACCGCTCCTGTTGTAGCTCACCGATCACGTCGAGTTAAATGTGGAACAAGTTTTATTTTTTTATTTGGCCTAGACGTTTGCAGGAAACGATATTCCAAACTGAGAGACAGAGAGATGGTGTTCCTGACTCCATCTGAGCCCCCGTAATGCTAGTAAATTGAACCTTACACCTCTAAGCTTTGCTGGTGAATGATAGCACCTGTCCACTGCAACCAGACTCTCATTGTTTCAATCCCCTGTCTGAAGGGAGATCAGCCAGCACCAATTGGCCTCACAGATCATTTCACCATTGAATTAGGCCCCTCTTAAGTTCTGTACACAAAGAAATGTGTCAGAAAATAATCCCTTTAGGGCACTGGTAATGCACATTTGTATAGCAGAAGTGAATGTGATATTGGTTCCGGTTAAGAACTGTAGTCGGGGCCACCTAGACACGGGGCCTCTTTTAATCCCGGCCAACTATAAATATTGGAAGCTGTACCACTTGATTGTTTTAATAGCACCAGATGTGGCAATTAACACCACCTTATAAAGCTCCCTTGTATGTTTGTTTTACTGCTAACAAATGTTCCCACAAATATGACCTGATTGTGGGAATGAGCATTAGTGAAGAGTAGGGAGAGTTAATACGAGACATTCTCAGTTTGATCTTGTGTATGCAATAAAGAGGAGGGGGTCCCCTGTTAAGATTTGTCAAATAAGACCTCAGTCTGTAATGCTACTCAGGCGAAAATATGTTTCCAGAGTAATGTGAAAGGCTTCAGATATCAGGCTTGCAAAGGGAATATCTACATTCAGTTTTAACTATAAAATGTCTAAAATATTTGACTTCCCCTCAGCAAATGAACAGTTTCAATCTTTCTTCTTGTTACTCTTTGCTTAAAGGGCTGTCTTCTAACAATTGAACAATCAGTAGCCATAAAATAACTGGTAAAGTGCAGCATTATGGTCGACCTCTCTGTTATACCCTCATTGAAAATGAAATAGTCTGTATTTAGAAAATGTTCATGAAGTAAAATGCTAGACCGTCTCCTCTTGTTTTTATGTCTGCACAGCATCAGGCGGCAGCAGGAGCGGCGAGCTATCCTGACGCCCATCTTGACTGACTTCTCTGTCCGGGTGACTGCTGCTCCTGCCATCATCTTCAGCAAAATTCTCTCTCCTGAGTGCGGGCAGGCAGAGGTGAGCAAAGACTCTTCACAATATTTCAACAGAAGATTTTCCAAGAACCTGAGTTTCTCTACTGGGAAGATTTGTACTCTATCACCCTGTGAAGTGTTCACACTTTTTAAAACTTTTATGTTTTCCTGATTATGACCACAAGCATGTATATTGTGATTGCATAAGATGCACCAACACATACTGTACACAAGTTCCTCACTTTAATATCCCTACATGTATTAGATTGCAATTGACCAAATGTAGAGTTGCCTCATTGTTGTGTTTGTGGAAAAACACTCAAGAGGTGGTGGTATTTATTGAAGAGTGGGAGAGGGTGACTGGGAAGTTCCTGTAACTGAGGATAGTCTGAGGAGGATGATGGGATGAGAAGACTAGTGGATGACGACAAACTTTGGACACACAGAGGCCTGGTCTGTGTCCGAAAGTCTGCCTTAACCTCTAACGTTCACACCTTAAGCAGCAGAGGCAGCAGGAGCAGCTACTTTACATGCAAAGTCAATGTTTGAAGCACATCTCTACGCAGCAAAAGGTCCCGCAGCGCATTTGGAGCAGCAGGAGAAGCACGTTGTGAGCTTCAACAGCTGCTGGAGTTAGAAAAATTAAACTTTTGCTGCTTGAAGCAGCACATCAACCAATGAAAGTAGCTGATCTGGGAGCTGGCAGGGAGACAGACACGCTATGATCACTCCCCTGAAACAGTTTATTAAAGCTACAGTGTGTAATAATTTCAGGGATATACAGTCAGAAATGTAATATATTATACATAACTATGTTATTTATCATCATCTACGAGCTCAGCCTCTTAACCTTAATATTTGCGTTGCCTTAGAATTCGTTATTTATAATTACATAGGAGCGGGTCTCACAGCCATGGAGGCAGACATATTTGCGCTACGGCAGCACAGAGATGTAGAAAAAATAACGGGTATATTTATTATCTTAAGTCTACATGAAATCTATACCCTACACAGACTAATGAAATACTGTAAAATTATCTATGTAAACAAACCTCATCACTTGAGAAGGTAGGTGATGCGGACGTGGTGGAAGACATTTTGTCCTGCAACGCTTGCCGTACTGTTGGGAGTAGAAGCGGTGGGGGTATTCATGTTGCTGCGGTCTGCAGTCTGGACGCTAGATGTCGCTGAAAATTACACACTGTAGCTTTAAAACCTAAATAGAAATGTTGAAACCTGCCAGTAAAATATGTTCGATTTTATTATTTTGGTGCCTGCAGTTTGGACTACGAACGTGAAAAAAGACTTCCAGCCGCTGTGAACAGTAGCGGAAAACCGCCTGGAGGTGACCTGTTGAACTGGGTTCCCAGTGACAGAGCTCCGCCGGTGTACGGTGGTCTGAGCGGCTCCGACAGAAACAATGGGCAGGTTGCTAATCTGGATGAACTGACTGCACTGAATAACTTTTCAGGTGGACTTTCTCACTTAAAGACATTCAAACTACTTTTTACCCACTGATCGAAGCAAATATAGCTGCCATTGTTACAGGCAAAGAAAGGATAGGGTAGCTCCTCCCAACGTGCATCAGACCCACTTTTTGCCCGCGCAGCCAGAGCAGCAAAGATGCTTCAGCCGCGTATCGGAACTAATCTTCTACAAGCATCAAAAACGAAGCTTGCTGCTTGTGGTCTGAACCTAGCATAATCCTTTGCTCACTGTATGGAGTGGGACTATATAGTCAACTCAATTAACTGATCACTCAGATAGATGATCGCTACTTTTTTGCTCCCCGTTGTTTATGTGACTCATGCTCCATCTTTGTTCTCTGTTGCCTCCAAAACAAATTTCATAAAATTTTCTTGAGGGGAGCTCTCGCAAAGCCTTCTAGGATATATCTGCTCATCTGGGAACCATGGTTGCACACTAATTTTTAAAGTGCATTGTGGGAAATTTTGAGTCAAATACTTTTTCATCCAATAGACATTTGGACACTCAAAATGGCATAATCACTATATAGTGCCCTATGTTCGAAAGTCCACCTTAATCACCATATAGTGCCCTATATAGTGATTAAGGTGGACTTTCAAACAGTTTTCTACTGATGTTAGCAAAGCTAATCACTGTTCTCTTTTAACAGTTGGTTAAGTTAGGTCATCATATAATAACTTAATTTAACACAGTCATGAATGATACCATGAATGACACCGTATGAGCTAAGCTAACGTTAGCTTCAGTGTTTATATTGAGGAAAATTAGGCTTAGGGGAGTTTGGCCTAGTGGTTTGGGCATTGTGCTTGGAATCCAGAGGTTCTGAGCTCAAGTCCCACTCCCACGGACTGATACTCCCTGAGCAAGACCTTAACCTCACACTGCTCCCCGGGCGCCACACAATGGCAGCCCACTGCCCTCCAAGTGGATGGGTCAAAGTGCAGAGAAATAATTTCCCCAGTGTGGGACAATAAATCAGTTTCCAGCTACAGTTAAGCATTTTCAACTTTGTATCCTGCACTGTGTTTGTAAAGTTGTCAGTTGATAACAGACGTGGCTGTTGGATATGACATCAGAATTCAGCTCTTTAGGCAAAAGATGCTTTACTATCATTACTAACCGCTTCCAGGAAGGAAACAGTGATGTTTTAAGAGGATTCTTTCCTGGCTAATCACAGTCAGATTACTGTCTCAGGTTGGTTCCACCCTCATTTTGAGATTTTCTATGAGAAACTCTATGAAAGAGTTATATTTGAGCCATCCCCGTCCCCTGTTCATAAGTAGAAGCCACATCCACTTCACCAGTCTGCAGTTACTTGTACTAAAAACACTAATGAAATCCATTAAAGTCAGCATAATGGGAAGTGGTCTGCAGAGCGCTGAGCATTTAAAAGAATGAAGTATCTCTAACTTTAACCACTTCAAATCCATTTCAGCAGGTTGGTTTAAGGATTTTCCATCATAATGAGTTTTATGGGTATAAAGGTTTTCATCTCATTTCTGAGGAACTGCTCGGTACTTTTTGACCACGGCCTGTTAAATCCATTCCTGCAGCCATTACAATCTGTTGTTCATATGAAAATAGACATTGATTATGTGAGATGTCAGAAGTATTTATGTTTTGCTCTTAACTTACAGCAACAATCTCATTTAGTCCCCAAACCCTCCTCCCCACCACCAGTCCAGAGTGTAATGGAGGTTTTTGACCTCCAGAGTTCAAACCTTTCTGCTTATACAGCTGATGTTTTCTGGCACTGCTCTCTGAGACTTCCTGCCTCCTTTGATGCCTCGTCCGACCACGCTAACGTGCCCCTTGACAATGTGTAACAGCTAATCCATAGTTGTTGGGTTTTTTTTTTTTTACCGTGACACACACATGCACTCACAGAAAGAATAAGTAATTTGTATAACCTGCTGAGATACAGTTACTCTGAGCCAGTAACAACACAAATAAAACAGGTTTGAACTGTGTAGTATTGAATAATTTCTAGTTTGAAGGGGAAGTCATTTTTTCCTTCTAGCTACGCACATAACACATAAATGTACTTTGATCAAATTAATAATAAAACATACTCTACGCTCCACTCTCTATTAATCAAATGAACACATATAAAGCATAAATATGTGTTAAAATGTATGAGTTGAAGTCATTTTTGTCCAAGAGCAGGGAGAAGGTAGTGTAGGTCTGCTCCGTGTGTGGCTCGGTTCTCAGTGTTGGTGAGTAATATCCTATCAGATGGAGCCTCCTGGCTCAGGTTTGCACTGCTGGCTGTGGGTGGGACCCTGGAGAGGACAGAGGGTGAGGAGTGGAGCAGAGACCAGGACAGAGAGCACACAGCATTGTAGAGGAAACCCATGAGAGGAGCATTAAATGAGACCACAAACATTCCCAATGTTGTTTTGGGTATATTTCCCCCTCTCTACTCCCACCTCTTCTCTTAATTTCCCCTTTGCCTCCCCTCTCTATCCGTAGGAAGTGGTGGTGTGTGGCCACTCTCTGGAGGTGAACGTGACCAGCAGTCTGGATTTCTATCTTAGTGTGGCCCAGGTGCAGCTTCTCCAGCAGCTCCTACGAGACAACATGGTGGGATCAAATGCTTCAGAGAAAAGTTCAGAGGTAACTTCTCACCTTGGATAGAGAGATGCACTCAAACTCAAAACCCTCAGATCCTACATTACTGAATAGAGATAGACCGATACAGGTTTTTACATCTGATCCAGATTAGTTACACATCAACTGATTCCCGATATGTGCTGCCATGTTTCTTTTTCACAATAAACACACACAAGAAAAATAAAAAACAGTCATAACAAATGTTACAAATGTCAATTTGAACAAAAAACAGGCATTCAATAACAAATCAAACTAAACATTACCAGTGGATAACAAATGGAGGGGGCGGCAATGCATCTGCTTTAAGTGATCTCAAGGCAAGGCTGCTGGATGCACTAATGCAATGATTCCCAAACTTCCTCTTTTGTTTATAGGAACGTTTCTGCTCCCCCTCAGTGTCTAAACCTGCTCCAAGCTGAACAAGCTAAAGTCAAGAGCATTCTTCTTTAAAGTTGTAGGGAAGTCATATTTAAATTTCATATCATTCTGGCTTAAATATTTATGTAAATGTACTTTTTTCGTTATTCTATGCAGGCCAGTTAGTTATACATCAGCCTGTACACCTAAATCCGGCCAATCATATATCAACGGTCATCTGTCAATCACATTTTTTTGGTCATAGCATCTTGACTCACAGCTAATATACGCAATGATTGAAATAAGAAATACGAATCATTTCCTTTCCCATTGAGTTCCGTCCCAGTGTTCACGGGGATGGACGTCTGTGTCTTCAGCAGGCGTAGAGCTAACAGAACTGGCAGCGTTGCGAGGCAAGGACTCAAACATGTACGGCTGTAAGCCTTCTACACCAAACCAAGCTTCTGCCGCCCTGGCGTCCTCTTCCACAACATCTTGGTCCCCGCTTTCCTCCTCTAAATAAAAAATTTATGACAGAGGAGACTCATTCACAACCTCTGACACAAACTCTCCTCCTCTTGCATGTTTCATCTGTCCATAGCGTTCCTTGACAGTGTCGTTTCTAAGTCACCAATTTAGTGCTACTTGGTCCCAATGGAATTTCCCATTGGGAACCTACTAGGGCTAAGTTGCTAACTGCTTAGCAAGATGCTTCCGACAAACCAGCTACAACCAAACTTGCTTGTGAACCTTCCGCCACAACAATCCCACCCCCTTGATAATCGACCAATCACATTCACTTCATTCACTCGTGGAAAGTCGGGCTCCACTTGGGAGAATTCAGAAATGCAACGGTTGGAACAGCAGATTCCCTATGACTTTAAACTACTTTAGGGTTAGCTGTTTATCCTACTGTGGAATAGAATTCAAAATTCCTTTCAATAATTGAAAAAAACTCTCCAGCTAGGTCATTTATTCCTTTAATTTCTACCACACCCAACCTGCAATTACACTGTCCCACCCTTAGAGGGCGCACCCCACACTTTGGTACCACTGCACTAACGAATTGGCCATCGCATGCACATATCGACCGTAACTCCTAATATCAGCTGGTGTTCTGTAAGACCTGCATACTCATAGTCAATACGCATGCGCAAGACGCCAGATTTGCGTTTATCCTTTTAGTTTTGTACGAAAAATAGACTTTAAACTATCTCGGCAGGCGAGCATCCCTTTAGTCATGTACAAAAAAACAAACAATTAAGGTCAGATCACCATATGCTTAAAAAAAACTCAAAAAAGTAAGTAATTAAATAGTTTTTTTGCTGGTTTACGCAAAAAAGTACGCTCATCTGACAAAACACGGGTTACTGTATCATCTCTCTTTACTTCTAAAATATTTACTCCAGTTTGTCTTTGTCTCTTCTTTTTGAAGTGATAAAAGGCAACTTTTACACAGGATTCTAGTCTTTATCCAATATATTTTATGCAGAATTTCACCGATTCCCTCTAAAATCTGTCAGGATGCCTCTTCTATTAACCCTAACTCTTTAGGGTGAATCCAACACATTTAAATATTTACTTACTCAGAGCGAAGCACTCCTCTAATGTGGCATTAGTTTACTGCTCTGCAGCCATCGGGGCCCTTCCCATTGTTTACAGGACAAGGAGCACCCAGGCGCCATTTGCCCCGTCTGACCGCTTAATAAAGCTTTCTAATGGAACACAATATAAAAATATTTACCAGCATTGGTGAGGAAGAGAGAGGAGAGAACAGGAGGAGAAATTGGTTTAAATAAAGCGAGCCCACAAACTCACTCTACTGTTCTCATCTTTGAGATTCCTTATGGGAGGATATGTTTAGTTCAGTTACAGATGACTCAGATCCTCTGATTCCCAAACATGATAGAAGGTCAAACAACAGAGGAGGGTTCACTAAAACCTAACAGAGGATGCAGAAAAAATAAAGGATAAACTTTAGAGTTGTTGAATAAAAGCCATATAGGGTTTTGTAATTGCTTTTACTGTTATTGTCCCTCTGTCATCGGTAAAGTCTGCTTCTTCCGGTCAGAAAACCTGCAAAAGATAATGTGCCTCGTATGTTTGATGGTTTTGGCCTCGCTGGTTCGGTTCTGGCATGTTTGTTGACTGCTGGGACCCCGAATTAGATTTTACCGAGTGAAGACCAGAATGTTTTCTCATTGTTTGAGCAGCTTCCTGTCTGCTGTCCTGCTACTTTCTGAGTTGCTGTGAGACAACTCAAAAAAAAAACTCCTTATGTTTGCTTATCATCAGTGTCATAATACAGTGGGATATAACCTCTTTACCTCTCACTTCTTCTTGTAATATCACACATTTATTGGGTATTTATGATCATTCTGAGACATTTCTGTCTATTAGTCTTTCTTCACTCCAAAAATGAAAATCCAAGTAAATCAATTTATCTTCAAATAAGTTTATTTTCCATTTATTTGATCAGATAAGTCAATTTTCCTAAAGAAATTAATCAGTTATTGTATTTCAGGTAGTCTAGTTGTAAAAAAAAAAAATGAAGGGGGGTGGTGGATTTATTTTTATTTTATTTATTTTGCTCAGGCTACTTGTAAGCCCACACCCCGCCAAATGTTGAAAGGGTTACATTATTACCATTACTGTTAATATATAGTAGAAATTTTACACATTCAGTTATAAAATGTCTCAGGGGATGGTAAGGGGGGTGGGTCATTTAAAAAGGGGGATGATTTTTAAGATTTTTCTAAGAATGGGGATGCCTTCCCCCCTCCTCGACACTCAACTGGAGTACTGATTATATCTAATTATATCATTTTAAGGTCAAAAGTATGTATTCCATAAGCAGACCTTCCTATTTATCTGCTCTAATTAAGGGCAAATGCACTTATTTAAAGGATTTTTTATTAATCTATTTAAAGCAAGAATGAAAAGTTTATTGTTTGAAGTGAACTGATCCAAAAGGATCCAGGAGGAAAAACAGCACCTTTAATATTACATGCTTATGACTTTTAAAATCACAAGGGAATATGATGTCTATATAAATCTTCACCAGATTCCTGAAAACTCCCATTAGAAACCATAATGGTGTTTGTATTTTAACCGCCTTCCTGACATTAAATGGGTTTACCTTCAAATGAAATCAGCTCCCTCAGTGTAGCGAGCTGCACTATAGAAGACGACAGCTGTAGGAGTTGCTCTACCTGCAGATGCATCATTGTTTCTTTTAACCATGCAGTGATCATAATGTAGTTTATTACTGTCTGTGGGCTGTAGTTAAGTGTGTGAGGCTGATTTTACAAGCTGCAGAGCCCTCTAGTGGTTGCCTTTATTAGTCTGATCCCTCAGATCCTTGCTCCCGTTCAAGCCTCCAATGTTTCCTACAGCTAAAACATATCATGTCACACACATCGATACCAAGCTGCTGTTAGCTCACTGCTGAAAGATCAGAAGTGAAAGAGATGGGCTTCAGTGTTTTTTTTCCTGAATCTGTATTTATAAGAAGCTCTTTGAACTCATTATTAATATAGTTTGACAGTTAACTTTGTCCAACCTGCTCAAAGGATCCAGTTGGAAGCAGGTCCCACAATCCCACATCCGGTGCAGTTCAATTGTTTTTGTTGTCAGGATTCAAAATGCATTCCCCCCCCCCCTGTTACTGTCCCCAATTTAAATTGAAATAAAACATGGATTCATTTCTCTCCGCCCCCCTCCCCGATGTGCAGTTTGTCTGGAGCAGACACTCCTGAATCCCATTCTCTGATTTTCAAACAGTTCTCATTACCCCATACAGCTGTGTTTTATTGTCAGGGTTAATGAATTTGTTTTGTTGGGGCTTTTGGGTTCCTTGGCAGCGGGAGGCGAGCCAGGCGCGTGGGGAATGTGAGCGAGCATTGTGTAGGGTTTTCAGTGTTTTCTAAGCGCCGCGCTTTGCCATAAATCTATTCATACACACACTTGGTTAATTGTCTTTTATTTTCAGCCTCCCTCAGAGCGTTTTCCACTCATTCCACTCATTCCACTCATTTTCCTTTTACATCAGGATGGGGATGTGTAGCTAGTGTAGCATGGTGCTCTATGAGGCCTATAAGCAGATGTGTTGCTCTTTAAATCACCGGATTATTAGAATGTTTATCATGGCATTCGCTACGGTTCGTCACAGTCTGACTTCATCTCAACAATTCCACGGCTGACGTTAATGATGATGAAGTGAAGTGAAGCTGGGTTCGCATCAGGTAGCTTTCAGCAGCAGGAGGTCCCGCAGCCCAGGAGCTATGAATAGATGCGGTTTCTAGGACTAATCTCGCCGCTGTGTCACCCAGCAACACAGAAACGCATGCCATCAAACGCACACGTGTTCACACAGCCAGATAGATTATGTTCACATGAGCCACATGCCATGCATGGTAGGACTCTGCCATCTTCATTCAGAAGACACACAACTAAAGCGTCAGTGTGAAAGACAGCTGAACTGTGTGTGTCTATTTTCACTTGTTTTACCTCACAGTGGAACCGGTCCTTTAACTTAGTTTTATTCTACGTCTTTATTTAGTCTTGGAGCTTTTATAGATATATTATTTATTTTTATAAACAGGTTCTGCAGTAGTCCAGTCCAGCTTTTACCATCTGAAGCTGGT